GATCGGAGGCAAGAGGAGCCCTAATGATATTACGATCATGATCGATGTTGGTATTAGCTTGACGGATTGTGCGGCAAGAAAGAGAACAATGAAGAGCGGCATCATCGCCAAAGCACTGGATGGGATTAGATGTTTGGCGTAAAAGATCGCTTATAAGAGAAAGAGGGTGGGCGAAGGTATGGATTCTTGAAACGAGGAAATGGCCGAGATAGGACCCCATCTACTCGGACGGAGGTGGTTTGCTTGCTGAGGAAACAACAAAGCCACGATACCAGAAACAGGTAGAATCCGAACGTGGGTAATTTTGACAGCAGACCATGATAAATCGGTCGAAGGCCTTTCAAATGTCAAGCGAGATCATGTGAGTTATATATCCAACAGGCTTGAAAACAAGCATGGTACCAACGACAATATTAGTAAGGACAATAGAGGGAGGGGTTGGGATACAGAGTATAGGGAAAAAGACGTTTGGTACAATAGAAGATTAAAAATAAATGGAATGACAATTCTTTTTGTGTTAACCGTGAATTACGCTCAGGGTAATACGTGGCTCTTGCTTTCAAGTTGTTCGGGATCACTTTGAGGTTTGTACATATCTGTTTGCTTGTTTGACCGTTTATTAATGCAATACCGTAGAAACTTGCTAGATCGTTCGTTCTGTTGACGTTTTGGGATCCCACTTTGGCTACGCGTTACTCGTTAGTCTACTCGGGAGATACATGATGTACTCCAAGCCTCAACAGACAGTTCCATAGTGCGGTCCTATCGACAAAGTCGAAGGCCGCGCGGATATCTACGAATACAAAGATGATCGTTGGTCTTTGATGAGCATGACGGTGCTCTAGCAGCTGTCGGATGGTGAAGATTTGATCGATGCACCCACGCCCGGCGCGAAACCCAGCTTGCTCCTCGCGAGTCGCTGACTCTAGAAGGGCGGACGCCAAGTGGCGTACCGGCAGTTGGAGCGTCTGGAATTCGTAGTGGCGAGAGATAAGTGGTGGTCGGAACATAAAGCCAATAGCCGAGCGACAGGAATTTAGTCCAAAAGGACCTCCCACGTGCGCCTCACTTAAAGTCAGCCGGCCTACTCTAGCATTCCTATCTCCTGCTATAATCACGATATCAGCCCCGATTCGGTTTACGTAAGANCGCACCTCCAAGTCTCACTAGGCACAACCTACTGTTGACTGGTATCCAGTCCCGCGCGGCTTCAGCTCACTGAGAGCCACACCGACGGACCGAGTGGTTTACAAACATCCAAACAGCGAAGAGTTTGGCAGACATTTCTGTTTTTTTATAGGTAGAAAGGAGTAACTGGATGTGTAGGAGGAGGGTTGAACAGTAGAGGCGGTAGATAAGGTGGATTTGGGGGCAAACGGGGAATCGACGACCTCTGCTTTCTCGTGGGGATCACGAACAAGAGTACCAGAAAAATTGCAAATGGGAGGAAAGTTGGAAGGACGGGAGGTACGTAAAACCGCTTTAGCGAGGGACCAGTATGTTCGGTTACCGGTGGCGGAAGAAGCCAAGCGCACAGCTTTGTGAAGCGTTCTTTAGCTCTCTGAATATTGACGGAACA